CTTATCATTCGTTTGCGTCCCAATCCTTCATCGGCTGGAGAATGACAAACAGGTTTACTGCGTAAAACGTTCTTTGTACACTCCTGAAAAGTCACTAGAACAAAATCTCACTAGATAAGTTACCAGTGAATTTTAACTTAATAAATAGGGGCTTTTTACATGCAGTCATAGTCTAATGTTTTCTCTCTGATGTTTTCACATGTTTCTTCATGAAATGTCTCCGTTAAGGGATTGTAAATGTACATTAAAATTTCGTTTTGTAAGAGATCATCCGTTCATATGTTTCTTGCTCTGCTCGTAAGACATTTAGCGAAATCCCTTTTATATTTAATGGACACGTAAGTAAGAAAGTGTGTGTATTGCCCTTTGAATGTGCTTTTTCTACATATGCTTCTCTCGAGTCATTTTTATTCTCGCCTACTTAGCAAGATATCCAGAAAACGCAGTATACCATCCTGCTCCTCTTTACAAGTAAAATTAATCGAAAAGCGGATATTCAACAAAGAATCCAGAAGATCAATTACATAGTGGTGAAATTTGTCCTCAAATAATGTATTGCGTAATGTAAGGTTTAATATAGAAGGGTTTATTAAATAGAAAAGAGGAAGATGTTCGGATGACATAATAAGCGTTGGAAAATGGTCAGTCAATATCACTGTGTAGAGTAGATATCAAGAAGTTGAAAGTGGATGAAGTTTTTACTTAGAACTAGGGCTATATTAATAATAAACAGTTGTAGAGTGACAATCATAATATAAGGACAACGAGAATGATAATAATAGTGAACTGATATCATAAAAGGAATACAAATTACAGTGTGAAAGTTACTCTGTCCAGTGCAGAGCGATTGAACATATGTAGTGCATTTGAATGTAGAGGTCCAGTTTCAGATCCTGAATTAGTGATTCATCTATTTACAGATGGCGTATTGAATGCTTCTTCGAATGATATTGAGGTACCCTGTGTAGCCCTTGTAAAGCAGTCATGCTGAGGTAACCGTTGTTCAGAATTGACAGGGTGTTCGAGGATTTAGCTACTTTTCTTCTTCTTATCTCGTCAATCTGACTAGCCAAGCTCCACAGTGTTCCAGAATACGTTTGCGAACTTGACTTTTCCTACACCCGGTATAGTCTGCTCCACACGAACAAGTAAACTGATATATACACACTGAGTTTTGCGTAGGATCCAAATTACTGGATATGTCGATAATTCCGTACAACAAAACACAAATATATAATGAACTTGTGAAGTGTTCAGCCTGCATGCCGCTAAATCCAATATTACTGTGCGTCAATTAGAAGAAGTCTGTACAGATGTGCCAAAATTGATTCGCAATGTGAAACTATGTGAAACAGGAATATATTTTGGATTTTTAAGCACAACTCAAAGGTTCAGTGTAATTATTCAGCTGAAGTTATCGCTTGTAGTTTCTTAGAAGAAATTCAAAGCAGTTGATAAAGGTTATTTTACATAGCAGAATGTTAATTTGACATAAATATAAAACATGGGCACTATGGTACATTATAACTACGTTATAGATTATAAGCAATGATTTGTGTTCGAAAAGTGGTCATCACTTACTATTACTGTAAAATACTGTTTCACTTATCAAAATAAAATCATATCTACAAGGATGTTAATTTGATGATGACGATTAATCTACTAGACAATCAAATGTTTACCAAATAAAGTGAGTTAGTACATCGCTGAAGTAAGCCTTCTTCAGAACACAAGTAAAATAATCCTATAGCAGATCTGCCAAACTTTGCACTACTTGCCAACCGTCTAATAACGGCTCATTCTAAAAAGAAAAGAATTACGGCTTCATGATATAACCTTCTGTTTTGAGGTGAAAAATGAAAGGAATATATTGTCATTCAGAGCTCCTAATGAGCTTTTTGATAAATTCCAGCAGTTATAACAAATATTTTTAAAACAAGACATGAAGGAGATTTTTTCGTTTTAGATTACAGCTTGATTCCACAATGTATTTTTGGTACAAGTATGGAATTTTCAGAATGGACATCGGTAGCCCAAATTTTGCAGACCAACCATAGATATCAGGTGTGCCTCGACAGGGAATCGAACCTCGGCGAGAGTCCTAACCACTGTGCCACCGACACTTCAGTGGATATTACTCGCAGTAGCTGTACTATACTGACTTGTATACGCTACTCATTCTACCTTCCACGCATATTGAACATATCCTGGATGAAAGCGCTTTTCTGTTATGAGTATTTTTTCAATATTTTGCATAAGACGGAACATTTCCTAGATTTACTAACGAGAAAAATTGCTTTGAACCAGTTGACCGACTATTAGTGGATATTCTTGCATAACTCAAGAATGATCAGCCGACCAGAAGAGACTTTTATGAATGTCTAAAACTGTCAGGATTTGTAATATCCATAAGAATATTGTCCACTTAAAGTGCAAACCTCTGGCCACCTCTTTCGATTATTTTTTAAGAATGTTATGTTAAGATTACTATGCATTTTTTGACTGATCACTAGTCAGTAACTGGCGTAAAGTGTGTGTCTAGTCCTCCTATCTTTGATGCACACTGAATTCTATCAGTCACGTTTGCAATGTGGCTTGTCATCACTGTGCCTTGTGAATTGTTGGTATTATTGGTATTGATTGGAAGCAATCAGCAGGAAGCCTCGGACATCACCTAGGTTTTGTGCTAGTTAGCACTCATCAGCAATCCGCATCTGCAACACTAGTTATTGAACAGTGTCCAATCAAAAATATACTATACAATAATCCTACAGGAGGTGAATCAAGAGCCTGAATAGTTCAGTAGCAACGTCTCTGACTCTGAGTGATGCGAGTTCGAATCTCAGTAGGGGACATGATTTCCTTCCGCTTTGCAGATACGCCATCCAGCACGAAAACTGAGTCAGGCAAGGGTTCTTGTCGATTGCCTTCAACCATCTATTGCAATACATATTCTTGGTGGCTAAGTGAAATTTTTAACCCACTAACGACATAGTCATAAAAGTGACTCTCTCCGAGCTACTTTTGAATTCAATGATTCTATATAACACTTGAATATTACTAGAAAGAGACAGTTATCATTTGAGTTGATGGCTTTATTCATCAAGATGCTGCTCAGTGAAACAATCTGTTTCATTTGTAAGTACGTAGATAAAAATGTCAGGGTACTAACTAAATTTCTAAAAGAGTTTCTTTTGTGATCTACATTCCGTGCAGAAATCTCCTTTGACAGAGATATTTACAGGCAGAAATATAGAATGGGCTTTCTGCTTTATGCCCATTCCGAAAATCAGCATATTGATGCTAAAAACTAATGTGTGATATATAAGAGTTGAGTCGACAAGACTTTTCTTACTTGCTTTACATTTACAGCCATTTAGTATGCATGTTACTTCAGTTAAATCCCATCAGAAGCACCAAATTAATCAAAGTTCCTTTCTATGCATACACTACTTAAAGGAGGACTTAATATATATATATATATCTCATATCATGATACCTGTCAGTCAAAAGGGACCTCTATTCGTTTGACTTAGTTACTGAATTAAAAAAGTATGTAATAGTAACTACTTAGGAGGATAGCCGTCTCTCTCAAAAATTGTCACCGCTGAAAAACGAGAAGCGGTAGTGTTTGAGAAGAAAAGCACTAAAAGAATGGAAACAGAAATATCCCTGCGTCTCCGAGTAGATACTGTGAATGAAAATAAAGAGATAGATGCCTTTGATTATCTTGTCTTCCCCTACTTTCAGATAACTTGATGTACAAACTCTTGCTTTACTCTATGTAAACACCTGTCACAACATTTCGATCAACTAGTTATCCAGACCCATTCACGTTTTGAACGAGGGCCTAATGAAGTTGACATGCCTCTGAATTCTTTGTGCTGTGAAAGCCCTATCTATACTAATTGAAAAAGTGGTGTTAGTCTTTTCGTGTCCTCTCTGAACACAACTGTGCTCAGCCCGGCAACGTTTTCATTAAACACTTTCTCGTCTTCATTTACGAAACACTGCTTTATTCCTTTCATCACAGAATACTCCAACTACGTTTGATTTTTTCGAAAACCTGTTCTACGTAATACACAGTCATACTTTTAGCTAGTATGATACTGACTTCTGTTCCACTTCTGACTAATTCACGTTCTTCGTCTCTGTGTCTGGTTATGTAATTCTTGTAAGTAGCAGAGATTGTATAGCGATAAGTGTAAAGAAATCATGATTGTACAAAAGTTGAGGATAAAATCATAGAAAAGAATACGATCACTAGACCTTTTGTATTTTTCCGAGTGTTCTAAAAGTTATTCCTCATAAGTACGAGGCTATTTATGCATAATAATTCCTGGTATTATGATTTTGACGATTTATTCCAAAACATTTAGTTACACGTAGCCATTCTTCACTCTGAAACAGTTCATCATGCATGTTCGAAAGTTCTAAACTAAATCTAATGCTTTCACTGTGTCAAGGGAAATGTATTTTAAGAAATCGATCATTTGTAGAGATCGGAGATACTGGAACAAAGTTGCATAATAACAACTTATTCAACATTAACTAACATAACTAACATATGCTTATCATTGGTTCAATGACAGAATGCTGTCCAACCGCTCAAATGGTCTGTGTATGACTGCGGATCGACGTGAAATGTACTTTAAAAAATAAGTGTAATGACACTACCCCTACTCAAACATAGAAATTCCATTTTAAAGACGAATACTGCCCTGGGAATGCAAACAACTAAAGAAGAGGAACTGTTTTAGCTCAGTGTATGTTCATTGACTCAAATCCTGTGGGCTGTGTTGTCGCTTATGTATCTTAAAATAAAGATCTTGTTAAAGGCTGCTTCATATGTATTGCATTATTATTATTATTATCCTTATTTTCACTGCAGATAGATTTTAGACAGCACGTCGATTATTCCTTCAGTCTGTAGATATGTTTTCTATGTTTCAGACACCTATGTGTCTTCGTAAATGCTTGTCAATAAATCAAAACTATCGTAACACTGAGTGAAATTATTCATTTACTTTAACTAATTATTATTAATTAATTAACTTATTTGACAAAACAACGAAATGAAATAATTCGATGTCTGATGTCTAAGTGTTTTTCTATTATGTACCCTTTGGTTTGTAGAAAATGTCTCTATTAAAAAAAAATAAACAAATAGGCAGTGAAAACAAAATACGACAAACTGAAGTCAAACCATCAGTGTTTTACATTGTAAATCCAAAAAAAAAATAAAACAAAAGATGTAAAAAATATTTATCTTTTCTAAATTGACACTAAAATTTGTTTGTAAAACCTGCATCGATATTAGGTCTTGAAGGCATTAGTGATTAATCCGATTCAGGCTTTTCATCGTTCAAGAACGATAAAGTCATATAACACATCAGTTTAGACCGCGGAAGGATATCAGTTAGAGAACTATTGGGGAGCGGGAAATACTGAACAGCTGTTTCATCAGCCTAGTTTGGGAATCATCATCAGTTCCCACCCAGGCTTCTATACCATGCAGCCGCTAGGACCCGATACAATAGTCCATAAAGTTTAACTTCGACCACTTTGTGATATTAGCGTGACTGGCACCAACCGATGTCATCGGCGAGAATTCCATCCTAACATCCGACCGGTTGAACCCCATGGGTCACAAGTTCTCACAAGAACTCCAGGCAACTTCGTCCTGTGGCCACCCACTAATGAGTATCAACTTGCCTAGTGTCTCAAATAAAATTAGCATTGTCTACAGCAAGGATAAATTACATTGTAAGACTGAAATTTGAAAGAAAGTTCGGTTTAGCATTAGAAAATCTGTGGTTGAGAAACAAAGCAGACCTATGTTCTACGTGAGTTCTCATTTTCGCACAGAACAATCTGATCAAAGAGACTATTATACTTTGATGCGTTCATCTTTCGTACCGATTTGGATGTCCCAGTTCGGAGAAGCTATTTCTGAATATATCACACCGAAAGTGTGCTTGTAATTTACATAATCAAGAAGGTTGGAATAATTCAGGAGCATTAAAAAGATGTTTAAAGCAAAAAGTTGATAAAAATAAATTAATATTTCAAGATTGTATACGAAGTCAGTACAGCTAGAGAATCGCTAAAAAAGACTGTTCAAGCCTCTCCAGAGACAAACACACAAGAAATGAGGAGTCAGTTTTTCGACAAACTAACTTCTCATTGATCGTTTAACTAAAGTCACTTAGTGGTCACTCTTGGATCATTCAAATTCCTGAAAAACCTTACTGGAAAACCACTACAATTCTCACTAGTCGCTGCCTATAGGACGAAGATACCCCAAGGTTCAATGTGAAGTCAGTAACAGCGGGTTGCTCAAAGTTTTATGTGAGGAAGAATAATCACTGAGGAAATGCGATGTCAATCTCATAATTTGTCTAAAATTAGTGACGGTTGGCATTGATGAGTTTTTAGGCAATATAAGCTTGACTCGTAGCCTCAAGGTCTTGCCTTCAACTCCTGGGGAATTCATTGTTGCCTGCTGAAGTAGATTTCCAAACAAGGACGTGATAGCTATTCAGTACTTCTTGATTCCTAATGATTCTCTAACTGACGTTTGTTTGTGACCACCTTTTGCTAAAGTGCCATTTATTGGATTTTTGCTGAAATGTTATATATTAGACTATCGAAAAATGGGTAGATGGACAGTTTCCTTGTCTGGACAACACCCCGAAAGTCACTAAGAAGATAAACGCAGAATACTGTCATTCATCCAGTTCATGAACCGCTACCAAGTAACCTTGTCAACACGCTTAAAATCAACCATTATTATTGTAATAAACACTTTCCGAAAGAATCGCTAAGCTATATTAAATCATTCTTGCCGAAAAATATGCTATCTTCCTTAAATTACAGGCTTCGTTACTTTCTGTCAATTCTAGTACAATTTATACTGCACCAGCAATGTCGAATAATTATAGTGAAAGTGGGAAAGGTATGCTGAATTGATGTCTGAAAGCTGAGTAAATATAATGACTTTATTTCCTTATGGGACTACCTCAGATAGTCTTGGAATGACTGATTATTTCTGGTGTGACAGGTAATGATTGAAGGTATGGTGTGAAATTTTGGCATTGACCAGTTAGTAAAGGTAACACAATCAGGTGTAGATTGTTGGATTTAATAAGTGTATTAGCTTATAAAAACAGATTACGTTTACATAATAAAACCGCTTATCATATTCTTGTTGATTTTGTCATTTTATGGAGGAGTGGGGTGTCGTAGCCAGAACAGACTCTGTTTCTGTCTATCATTCTTATTTAGAAAATTTGGATTCCACTTGATATGAAGTGCTTCTGATATTAGACGATCTCTGTGAATACTGAAATTTTTCTGAATTATTTCAATATTGTCAAAATCAATTTTGCTGCCTGATTCTGTAGTCTCATAATTCTTTGATGAAGCTATTAGCAGCAGCATTAAATAACGAAACGTCAGTATATACAAGCAATACGAAAAATCCTTTATCACAAAGGGTGTCGTTTCGCAGATAAAATTTAAGATCAATACAAGTACTCACATAAGTGTACCCATTGAGCTATTTTATGCAATTCATAAAAAATAAAGAGAAATCAAATCCTCTGTGGAAAAAGCCATTTTCTTGAACAACTCCTAAAAGTTACATCTATTCAGTGAGGTTTTAATATGTCATAGACGCCAGTTAGATTCCATAAAACAAGTAAATTGTGTGAAACTTTGGCTACTCGAAACTTCCATCACTATATTGCATATATTTTCTCCTGTTCGGTTTGTTTTAATCGATTGAGATATGACCCCTAATAGTATCATCTACTCTTGTGTGTATTTAAAATGTTTGCAAGCCTCTGATTCGCAAGTCCCTACTAAACTTGAGAAAAGACGTGATGACGGATGACAGCATGTTCCAATATATGGGATACGTGTTCTTCAATTATGTCCTTGAGTCTCAAAATTTACTTCTAAACATCTTACAATATGATTTCGACTAGATATCATGGGTGGACTTCTTGAAGGAGAATGACAAAGAAGATATGTCGCATAATGGAATGGTTTGTGCTTCAGCTCAGAGACCATTGTGTCACTGTCAAATAACATTTCACTTGAAGATACTGTGTGTAGAGAAAACATCGTGTAATAAACTCCTTCTGAAAATTGTATACACTTTATAAATACTGTCTAGACTAAAGGTGTTATTATTATTACTATACTTTCTACTCCTGCGACTATGTATGACTGAAGCTTGCATGTAGTTAGTACTTTTTCCACGGCAATGGTAGCTTGTACTAAAAATCTTAGAAACAGTATTATCATGTATCAAGCTATGATGTCATGCCACTGACAAATTTGAAATAATGGAGAAGATTTGTAGCTCAGGTGGATGACTTTGGCTTGGTTGTCTTTTCTGATCCGGTTGATTTCATTGCCAAGCTTTCTTGCTTTATCCTTCTTGACAGCGTCTTTGGCGCAAGTTTAACTATTAAATAAACGTATTTGGACTCTCCATGAATAGTATTTATTTGAGTGTCTTAGATCTTCCAGCTTGGCAAAAACAAACAAACCAAAGACATCCACGTGAGCTGTAAATCTTATCCATTATATCAAATTTGTGGATGCCAATGTACCCCAATACATAAGATTACTGTTGTTGATATTTTCAGCATAAGCTACCACTGCCTGGGGAAAAATACCAAGCGTCTGCAAGCTTTGAACATTCATGGATTTTGAAATGCCCTCAAGCACTTTTCCTAAGTGGATTTCAACCAAACCTCGTGAATTTCTCTAGAGAGAAAAAGAAGAAATATCTAAATGGATTGGTCTACCCTCTACGACTTCTGTTATCACAAACTATTTTGCTTGAAGAACTTTGATGAAGTTAAACTATCATGTGATAAATTCCGCTGAAAATTCTGTACGTTATTTAAACACTGTCCAGAATAAAGCTATTATTATTCATAAATGTTTGCCTGTTAGCTATTCCTCAACTGTTTATGTATTTTGTTTAAATTGATTCTCCTGCGATATTTCCTGATCTTACACGTAACTGAGTGATAAATCTATCCGATAATAATATTTCATCGTCAGCTCTCCACTAATAGATTATAGTACTTTTCTAAACATCTGCGTTCTTTACTGAAGATCAAATAGCTCCCCAGAAAGGATACACAGTGAGCTGTAGTATAACACCTAGGAACAAACTGTCGCTAAGCAAATAATCACAAGGAAATGTGAATGGACTGAACATTAACCGAGGAGAAATTCAACTGAAATCACAAACCCGCGCATTGACAAGCACCCGAAGAGTGGATGATGAGTTTCAGATGCCTTGGCAAATCATTTGGTGATTATTCAAGAAGGAATAATTAGTTAATGGTCAGTCCTGAAGCCAGTCGCACGTGAAGACCAACGGAAGAGGGTAATTCACATATGTCTCTGAGACCCACTTTTTCACTCAAAATGTAAAGAATGAATATGGTGATAAGAATAATCCTATGCAAGTGAGTGTTGTAAAAGCCCTAGTGCATTTATTACATTCTATATTTTAAAGTTGCTAAGTTAGAAACGTGTTTCTCTGAATATTGATAATCAGACTGACTTATTCATCAGCTGCCAATATTCTTCTCTCACTCTTATTGTAACATATGGCTTCAAGTTTATGAACCTCATATAGCAGTGCTGTTACGTTTAACAGTAAGACGGATTCTGTCTGGCTCTAAACCTTCCCTCATATCCGCACTTACTAGCAATTAGGCGAGGTTTATGCGTACGTCAACATCAAATCATGCCTAAATCCTATGCCTAACTGGTATGCATTCTACCCTTGATTCTAACTTGAATGTAAACTGAAAAAGTCTTCGTTGATAATTAAGTCTCTGAACAATATTTCTGTTTTACTTTAGTCAAGATTTCGTCAGTTGTTGGAATTATATGATTCTAAAACATAATGAAATAACTCACCAAAAAAATTTAAAAATTCCGCTTTAAATGGAATATAAATAATATTTATCAAATTTGACATTGTTAAAGATTTATCAAGTGGATAAGAAACCACTGGTATTGATTTCCAGAACAGTAATTTCTAATTTTATTTTGTCCAATTTGGAAGGCAACAAATGAAGCACACAACTTCTAGTGTATCTAATTGTGCTCTACAATCTTCAGACGATGCACCAACGATTCCGGCAGGAATGGAACCCTAGGCCAAAGTCATCAACCATTCAGTCAGTTAGGCAGGAATTCACTGACCTTCTGATCGGTTCCTTACAGATTTCAATGCAATCCATTAAACCAAACTTCCACAAATGACTTTCAAACTACAAAAAATTTGAAATTCGCTTTTTGGTTATGCATTTTTGAGACACTTACTTTAACCAGGTCCAGATTGAACTTCAGTGATAAAAATGAATGAAGAAATTTAGTCTCTAATTTAATGAATACATACTAATATATCGAAATCGGAGGCTTGAATGAAAGAAACGTTTATCCGAATGCTTTTGCCAGTGGGATCAGCTGCAATTTTCGTCTGTGAACTAAGATTCAGAGAATGGTTGTGTTACGTAATGAAATGAGCATTCGCAGAATAGAAGAGTGCCGTTTAACGAATAAGCGTTCATCAGACGGAATTCGTATTAAACGCTAAAGAAAGTTTCGGTTTCAAATAATTCTAGCCTGATCCTCTTCCATCATCAGTTAAACCTAGGGTATGAAAACAAACCAACTTCATCGTTCTTTAATATGAAGAATAATGAGATGATTAACATAGTGATTACTTTAACGACCACAACCTCGATGATTTGCTGTGAGCTCAAATTCACGAATAACTTATGGCACCTAGACAGTTTAAACGTTTTATAGGTATACAAAATATACCATTTGATAAATTTAATTCTAACTGAAGATGGAATCAGAATTCTGTCTGCAAAAACCAAATAGTATCAACTACGTTTCTAGTAGACAGTCCGCTGGCAAGCAGTCACTTCATGGTAATACAGCGAGTTAACCCAAGTAGAAAGCGAATTCATAAGACAACAGTGCAAAGCAGAGTAATAAAGCACTAGGAATAAGAATCACTCGGTCAGAAAGAATCAAATATTAAGAGTTGAGTTATTCGTCAGTGGCACAGCTTTTAGGACTCTCGCCGATCATCCACATGTTCCAGAGTTCCATCCTCTGCTGACCCACACCTGATTTCTATGGTAGGTTTGCAAAATTTGACCTACTGATATCACATGCAGAAAATTCCATACTTGTACCAAAAATACGGTGTGGAATCAAGCCATAATCAAAATAAAAATGAAGGTGCTGTGCACAATCTCTTCGAATCACCTTCACATCATCAGACACTGAAAAATGAGTCTATAGGATAAAAAATATTTTTTTTGAAACAATCAAAGATACTCAGTGTTTTGAAAATAATATTTTGCATCTTACTCCCATATAGATTTTGGCCTAAAATACATTAAAAAAACAGTATTAGTCTCCAGCATAGTGTGATTTTATTTTAATTGTGATCCTAGAGGGAATGGCTTAAAATGTGATACTCTTGCAGTGATATAATCTCCTATAGGCTTTGGCCCATAGACCACCGATAGTGTAAACAGCTGATAATTGAAGGTAAGATGAAAATCTGATTTTAGAGAGGTTTGAATTTATCAGCCTCAGAACAACTGGCTCGTTGATGATTTGTTAGATTGCCCCCTCCCCAGTGGCTCAGTGATATACGAATGTGTTGAATTCTATCCATTGTGAATTCACGGTTGACTGCCGTAGAAGATTTTGTACTTTCAAGTCTCAATGAAGCTGTGTTGTCTTACGAGAGAACCTCTCGAATATATATAACTTCATGTTTAGGTAATAAATCTCCGCCATGGTTCAAATATTGCAACAGTTTCGAATTTTTATTTTACTTTCAATTAAATATTGAAGTGTTACACATGTTTTTTTTCCAAGTATTGGTTTTGTACGGATTTTGTTTGATTGCATGGAGGATTTAATCATGAGCTGACATCAGATAGAGAACCACTGGAAAACCTGGGAGATCTGGACAGCTGTTTCGTCCTAGTTTGGGACTCTTCATCAGTACGCACCCATATGTGTTGTAATAAGATGATGTACTTAGTGAGGTAACAGCAAAGAAACTGACATACTTGGCCATCAATGTTAGCTATCAAAAGGTTTATAATTGATGTAAACTATATAAATAGAATAATTTGGCTTACTGATTGTTCATTTGACTTCCATCTTTAAAAAGTATACGTGAAAATTGTAGCGTATTTTATAAAAAAACATTTAAAAGCTAAACACTTCACAACAGTAATTAAATGAAAAGCGTATTTTTAGAATTTTTTTTTTTTTTTGATTTACAGCTTGATTCCACACTGTATTTTTAGTACAGGTATGGAATTTTCAGCATGGATATCGGTAGCCCAAATTTTGCAGGCCGACCATAGATATCAGGTGTGCGCCGGCGTGGGCTCGAACCCCGGGACCATGTGGATGGTCGGCGAGAGTCCTAACCACTGTGCCACCGACGCACTATATATATCATTAGTGTAGTGTATGAATTTTTTCAACTTACTACTAGTACTTGCTTCTAAAATAAAGACGTTTAGTCAGGTGTTATAAAATGTTTCTCTGAAATAACTTGTTAGACGTTCACGCATAATCCGAATGAACTGTTTTTCAAGGCAGGGACAATTACAGATAAATTACTGATATATATATATATATATACATATATAGGACTCAGTTAGGAAATACAATGGTCATATTCCAATGTTTATACGTAACAAGTAGACCGTACAGTCATTACGCTAAAATATTTGACATTTTAACATTAGTGATGACATCTTAGGGATCTGTACTAAAGTTGAGTACTAATTTCTTCTGTTTATTGATAATTCTTTTGATGAACAAATTTCCTTGTTAATTAATCTTGACCGCATCACGATTCCCTTATTTCTTAGTTCCTCAGCGTAACTGTTAGCAATCTTACATTTTATTGACTTCTATTTATTGCTATATAACAGATTGGCACTGATCACAGAAAAAAGGGGAAGTACATCGAATTCTTTGGAGATAACTTATTTAAAATATACAGGCTTATCTCCATCTATCGGCTACTTTGCTCAACTGCTGCAACTTTAAGTTGAAAACAACTTCCTCATGGTTATACCTGTCACATATGAAGGAGGTACAAAATGTACATGTGGTGTTCAGATAACATCTGCCAAAATAAGACTGTTGCCTCTGTTGACTAAAGGAAGCATATCAATAATTACTAAACACACTGAACAGCCCTGTCGCTGCAAATCTATTAAGGGTTCCTGATAGTAATATACAAAAATATCAACTTTATACTTACGTCCATTATCGTTTTCTACTACCGCGAACAGGGAAACCAGCAACACTAAGGTAATGTATGCAAATCGCATTCTGTATGAAGCCAAATGAAGAAATTTACTAAATAATATCAAGCACCTTTCTTCGAAATTTATATTATTTCGACAAATCTCGTGTACAATGTTTGCTTTTCATTCATTTGCTGACTTTCAAATTATTTTGTTTATGCTGAAGATGTAAGCAATTCATGAGATTCAACTACGCAGGCGTCTAAAAAACAAACGATGTGCAGTGATATCAATAAAACAATACACTTTAAATATTCAATCAAATGTAGGAGTTGTTAGCAAGATAAAAGCATGAGTAACCAATAGGAGATTCAAGCAGCTTAGGAAAGTTCAATGAGTGAAGCTCTACATTATGAACTATGACTTGAAAGCTATCATTATCAATCCTGCAGTCAATAGGATTAGAAGTCATGAACAAAACGTATATTTCTAGGCCTAGAATCCAGTTACGAGAGTCATACGTCTAGTTTCTGACTAACCCATAGATGCAAACTGTAGAAGAATTGCGAAATAGAAATCATATGCTTTGAAATCAATCACATTTCTACAGATAAGCGCTTCCTACCGTCTACCGCGCACCGAATAAACTGACGAAAACATCGAGGCACCGCATACTCGTAACAGCTGAGATTATCACCATTAGCCTGAAACCACTACTGATCTGTATGGAGAAGCAGCAAGTCCAGCTACCACTATTGCCCTAGCATTTAGTAGAGACTATAAATTCTTGGATTTGGATTATTATCTTTCCTAGTATCTCTGATTTTCTGTGTATTCTTATATTGATGCCTTCGAACTGTAGTTCACTGATATTGATGTTGCTTAAACATTAATTTTGATAATAACACTAATTCATTCACCATCACTGTAGAACGTGGTGAAGAGCAGGTTATCGAAAACAATATTCCTTTTTCAGTGCCCATTGTTGCAAAACATTCAAATCCATTGAATATGTCGTCTTGACCTTCCTGTTTTCCTTTTTCCAAATAGAGAAATCAAAATGTGATGGCTGATCCAATGTGTATCATTGGTAGCTTGAGTTTTGCATCATATTTATCAGCGAAGGTATTACTTATCCAGCGTTCGAACAGTAGTTATTTATATAAAATCCACAAAGTAAGCTATATCTTCATGACTTTCTTAATTGAACCTAAAGGGGATTTCAGTGGCAATTTAATGTTTCGCCCCTAAAACCAACGACTGTTAATGTTTAAGACATCAAAATGAATTCTTTATATATGGAAATTAAGCCTCAGAAATTGAACTGTTATTCCAACTTATAAGAACTTTTGGTATGTGGAATATTGTATTAAGCTTAAATTGCCTAATATTTGTTGTTTGATGAACTGACAGCATTATGACAATAATTAAGAGAAAACAGCAGTCATATCCAATGAAGACAGTCTTCAAGGTGAAGAACTGGTTCGATAGCTGAAATTGCCAACTTGCAGCAAATGAGTCTCACGTAGTAGTGAAGACAGAAATTTAGATGACCATAGGGAAAACAGAGAAAATAAAACAATTGCAATGATCAAAAATAAACGCTAATCGCCAACCATCTAAAAGAATCTAATTGAAGTTCTGTCTTTTAATTACCTGAAGGGTAACAACGTTACTGCCTCACACAACATGGATGAGCATTTCAGAGCACACGGTAACCAGAAAAGGAAGGCAGGAATTTTTTCTTAATCTGAAGTCAGTGTCGAGGTCACAAGGAAGACCTCAATGTCTAATACTAAGATCAATCCACGACGGTGATATGTTTCACATACTTGTTACGTGCATTAGCGAAAGCATTTACATCACCCTGTCTCAGAATTTTATCAGCTAAGACCTCCTGTCAAGGAACTTAACCTTCGTCCAATTGTTTGGCGTATCTCTCCCTGTGTTTCCTCTTTCAAGTTTGATGATTTGAGTAATGATTCAAGGGCAGCAAAGAAACCAGTTTTCGAAGCATCTCCCAATGTTTTAGTTTAATCCTTTTGCAGTAGTTTTTGTTCCTATAAACCTAAAGCTATAGACTGCGTAGTCAACCTACTAAAACAACCACTACCAAAAATGGAACAACAACTACTACAAAAAGAATTAAACTACAACACCGGAGATGCTTCGAAAACTGATTTCTTCGCTGCCCCTGAAGCATTACTCGAACCATCAAACTTGAACGAGGAAACACAGGAAGAGATATGCCAAAGGGTTGTGCCAATGGACAAACAGAAAAAAACAACACACACGCAACTCAACTCTCAAGAACTAAAGACCCTCAAAAAGCTGAAAAATAAGAAGGACATCGTCATTCTACCAGCCGACAAAGTAAGAACAACACTAGTCACGGACAGAGAAGAATGCACCAAGAAAGCTGAAGAACTACTCAAAGACGAAGATGAATATAAACAACTCCCAACGGATCTCATACAAACATTGGGCAACTGCATCCAAAGGACCTTAAACAAGCTCACCAAAACTGGACAGATAACAAAACAAGACCAATGGCGAATGAAATCCAGTGGACCAGTCCTACTCCGATTCTACGGTAGACCAAAAATACACAAGCCAAATATCCCGTTACGACCAAGTGTATCACTCCCAAGAACTTCAACATATAATTTATCCAAAGAATTATACAAAAAACTAAAACACCTAACGGAATCTTGTGATCACTCCGTTAAATCTGCTTTCCAATTCCTAGAGAAAATCAGAGGCATCCAAATAGATGAACAAGAAATAATGGTATCCTTCAACGTGACAGCATTATATACCTCTATCGGACAAAAACTAGCAAAAGAAACCATGGAAAAATTACTCAGCAACACCGAACACCTCCCACAATAATCAAAAATGCAACACACAAGCTGGATGGAATGCATAAATCTATGCCAAAAAAAACATACTTCCAGTTTAACGGCCAAGTATATAAGTCATAAGAACACCCATGGGATGGATCACCAATATCAGGTCTGATTGCAGAAGCCGTGATGAGAAGAGGAATCAGAGAACGAAATCCCATTTTTGGACGTCATAGTCAAGCGAACAATCACAGAAAAATTAGTAACTCAAGTTTATAGAAAATTAACTCACACAGACCAAATACTAAATTACAACGCATAAAAAGAATTGTTTACAAACACTATTCAGGAGTCCCAGCAACTTATTACAACACTTTCACCTTAAAGAATATTGAAGGAAGATATCTCATGAACGTCTTCCAAAAGATTGGATATCCACGGAATTTCATCAAAAGACATATATACCTCTAAGCCAACTGACTTAATCAAAGGACCTCAAGGAAAGCACAAAGAAAATCGTCCTACCATATATAAAGGATATCTCAGAAATCACTGCAAGACTCCTGAAACCTTTATGAATTGACATCATACACAGACCAGAAAAGTCACTGCACTCAATTCTTTGTCAACCAAAAGACTCAACAACGAAAGAGGATGAAACCAAAATCATCAACAGAATAAATTGCATAAACTGTGAAAAATGCTGCATTGACCAAAGTGGACGTCCCCTTCGTCTTCGTATTCATGAACATAAGCTAGCCGTCAAAAGACATGATATCCACTCCCTCATGTCACTACATACAAACAACCACAGAAATCAATTTGACTGGGATAATCAACGTTAAAATTTTAGACAGAGGAAACAAAAAGAATGTTAGAAAATTTTTAGAAGCTTGGCACTCCAGTGAATCGTCAATCAATAGATACGTCGAGACAGAAAAAATTTTTCAACCGATAAGAAAGAAACTTGACACACAAACGGTCAAAGTTCAAGTCAAAGAAACATTCAGTTCCAATAGAAGAATGTTTGAAAACACACAAAAACAACCAATCACGTTCAAGGTCTCTGGGAGAGATGATTGATAAAATCGTGGAGAAATTTAAGAGCTCACTGCAGCCAATTGAAGTATGAGCCGCGGATGTCGCCTAGTAGGGTGATGGAAGCTTCGAAAAATTAACTATCCAGCTCAGAGAACACAACCACATCAAAATCTTCCCTTTTTCCATTCAATGAACTCTTCTATTTTACAACTCATATTACGTAATGCTTTTTTCGAGTACAAATTTTACCAGTGTCTGATTGGTCTTCTGAATTGATTGTTAAATATATTTACAATTGCACGGCAGCTTATGAAAAAATGAATTTTCGAAAAAGATTTTCTTCGCTGCTCACGTCTTTCACCTATGACTCAGTATGGGAATATTTCGTTCAATGAAGAACTTTCCAAATAAGATGGTAATCATAGACACTAACGACTTTCTGTAAATTGACAAATTCAAACTTGATAAATTCTATGGATGAATTATTCATCCATTTATTTTCCTTCGTTACTACATAAGTACTACTACTTTGAATTGTTATCAGTGTAGATTTAGTCACAAACAAATATCAGTCGGAGATTCATTGAAAGTCACATTTACCAGGTAGCCTTTTTTTGTCTTATTGTTGAGACTTTTTCAATTTAGGCATTTATTTAATTGTTGCAGCATGTATAGAACCTTTAAATCTGCATTCTGTCTGTTTAATGTTGTTTGGAATAGGGTCATTATTATCATTATAAAGACATGATATCCACTCCCTCATGTCACTACATACAAACAACCACAGACATCAATTCGACTTGGATAACCATTGTTTAAATATTAAAGAGAGGAAACAACAAGAATGCTAGAGAATATTTAGAAGTTTAGCATTCCAGTGAATCACTAAACAATAGACACATCGAGATAGACAAAATTTATCAACCGACAGGAAAGGAACTTCACACACATGGGGTCAAAGTTCAAGTCAAAGAAACAATCAGTTCCAATACAAGTAACCTAGAGTGTGTGAAAACACACAAAAACAACCAAAAGCACAACCAAATCCAAAAGCTCACTCCAAATTGAAGTATGCACTGAACATGTCACCTAGTAGGGTGATTATTATTATATCCTTTAATTCCTGCAGGAACATATGGGCTTCAGCCTTGCGTCTCCATTGCCTTCGGTTTTCTGCCAACTTTTTCACTCCGCTCTAAGTCTGCCCACACGCTTTCATCTACTCTTCACATGATCTCCTCCAAGTAAACCTCGCACTGACGACAAACTCGCCGCTTCTCTTTCGGGTTCTACTCGAGCAATGGCTTGTGTAGTGAAGTCACTTCATGGTTTCTTCAGAGTATGGCCAATCCATCTCCATTTCTCCCTGCCTATT